TCTAATGGGCACCAGTTAGAAATAAAATATGTCTGATGGGCACTAATTAGAGATCATGCAGTCTGATTAAGTGAGTCTGATAGGCACCAATTAGAGATAAAGCAGTCTGATTAAGTGGTTCTGATGGGCACCAGTTAGAAATAAAATATGTCTGATGGGCACTAATTAGAGATCATGAAGTCTGTTTAAGTAGGTCTGATGCTTTAATTAGAGATCAAGTACCCATAGTTAGGTTTGATGGGCACCAATTAGAAATCAAATAGGTCTGTTAGAAACCAATTAGAGATTATGTTCTGTTGACCTTTTGTTCACCAATCCAACATAAGCTTTCATTCAGCTGGAAGTGAAAAGTGAAATTCATGCATATCATTGCTAATCATAACTCTCCCTAACAGGAAATGCAAAACTTTATATGTCAGACAGAAAAAGTAAGTGGAATTCTAAAAGCCACCAGAACACAGACTTTAATTAATGCCTGTCAGATTGCTGTTGTCTTGATACCAAAGAAAACATAGGTTGAAGTATGTATCAAATCCATGATGGAAAAAATCACAAGCTCTTATGTTTGCCCAGAATTTATATTTTCTTGAAATTGCACAAAATGATACTAATAAGCAGCAGAAGAAAATGACCAAATTCTGAATATTGTGTCTGATAAATTGGGTTACTAAAGTTTGACAATAGCTTTATTTAATTTTGCTTATATTAAAATGTAAAACACTCCAACTTCTTCAGAAGTATTTTGGTTTGAGATATCAAGTTCAATGAAAATAAATTTTAAAGAATAATAAATTAGTGTCATGTACTTATTGGCATAGTTAAGTAATGATGGCTTTATGGTATTTTTCATTGCATTCTCTAATATGTGGCACCTACATACTCAGAGGTGGATAACATAAACAATATTACTTCCTGCATGTCATAATAGGTGAGCAATGGAAACAGATGCAATAGTCACTCAATGGCTGGCGTTTTCTGCTTGTTACTGAAAAGATAGTTTTGAATACTACCATCAGATCAGCCCAGGTCAGCTACTGTGGGCGCACAATAGACTGGGTACTAAATGACCAACTTGAAACCAAACCTTGTCTTGTAAGGTCTCATTGATAACAAGCCAGTCCCTTGACCTCTTTCATTAAAGGAAGCCATATTGCTCAGAATCAAAATGATACATTGTAACACTTTGCCTACCTTGTTAAAGACCAACACCTTTACAAGGCCATTAACTTGTTGCACATGTATGACTCTCAGTGCCCCTAGTGACATATGATCAACCGATCGCTTTGCTCTTGTAATTTTTGTTACACTTGTTACTTACTGCAATATGGCACAATCTTTTAAGAGCAACTATAGCCATTGTTTTAATGGATTACCAAGAAAATTTGGTAAATTTTATAATCTTAAGATGCACATATTGACAAATCATTTTGCTCTACAATTGTGTTGGAGTTATTGCCCTTTTTGTCTTATACAAGTATATGATGGACTCTCAGTAACACAGCACATTTTGATGGATTATCATGAAACTTGATAAGTATTACGATAATTGCTTTAAGGTGCACATAGGGACAAATCACTTTTGTCTTATGATTTTGATTTCTACTGGTCATAGTCCAAAAGAGCTATGGTTTTTGTTGTCACAACTTCCTCTAGTTGATCCTAAATGAAAGTGGTACCCCTCAGACATCAAAGATGGTAGCATTGGTTTCCATCTTGGATATCTTCAATAGACTGATCAAATTCCACATCCAGGACTATTCATTTTCGAAGGCGGACAAGTAAAATCTTACAAAGCACTAATCTGGGACATGTAATTTTTCCTATTTTAAAACATGTCAGGCAAGTGTAAATTTTCATATTTTAATCACTTTATCTTTACCTGACCATATTTGCAGACCAGGCGTTCTGAATGTTTGAATCTAACTTCTCTTCCTTTATTCATTCACATTCTGTCATAGATCAATAAATGGTAATTGGTGGCTATCCTGTGTGCACACATTCTATTGCTGCTTGACTGGATATTGGACTAAGTGATCAAATTATTGGTCAATTAAACACTTTAAATGAAACAAATCCAGTAAGATTAATTAGCAGTTTTAAATGTATTCACTCAACCCAGGCATGCAAGAGCAGATCTACCTCTGATTTCAATCCAAAGAGTCATTACAATGAAATTATTGAAAGGCAATTTACCGACATAAGTGCCCATAAGTGAGGTGAATAATTGAGAGTAACAAGCCTTTAATTCTGTTAATTGATTATACAGGGATCAGCTTCAGTATGCTGTCTTGTGTTTGAAGTGATTAGCGATTACATGAAGTGATAAGCATGTGCATTGAAACAACAAAATGTATATTACATTCACCTAAGCAAAACTAGCTGTAAAAATGAGATGATATTACTTTTCGGAATAAAGGCGTTGACTCAGTTATTTTTGCAAGGATGGTCATGAGGAAAATTTATTAATATAGATGTGTAACATGAGGAAAATTTATAAAAGTAAAGCATAAAACATAAGGTTGCCACATAGTCTTAAGGTCACTATTTCTCCAAAGTGATATAACCCAGACTCTCAGGCTGCCTAAGGGATATGGGAATTTCAGCCACATTAGGATGGTAATTGTTTATGGCTTGAATTAAGTGACATTGAAGGAAAGATGTTTTGCAGCTATTGCAAACATTGTCTCATACAGGCATAGGACAGATATTCAAACCAGTGAAATTGTCAGTGGAACTGACAAATTAAGACATTACTCCATCATGTCTTGAGACTGTTTTGAACCACATGAATTCTGTACAGCACAGTATATGCATGATATTGTCCAGAATGTGTAAAAAATATTGTCCAGAATGTGTAGAAAATAATATTGTCCAGAATGTGTAGAAAATGATATTGTCCAGAATGTGTAGAAAAATATATTGTCCAGAATGTGTAGAAAATAATACTGTCCGGAATGTGTAGAAAATGATATTGACCAGAATGTGTAGAAAATATTGTCCAGAATGTGTAGAAAATGAAATTGTCCAGAATGTGTAGAAAATATTGTCCAGAATGTGTAGAAAATGATATTGTCCAGAATGTGTAGAAAAAAATATTGTCCAGAATGAATAGAAAATATTTTTGTCCAGAATGTGTAGAAAATATTGTCCAGAATGTGTAGAAAATAATATTGTCCAGAATGTGTAGAAAATGATTCTGTCCAGAATGTGTAGAAAATGATATTGTCCAGAATGTGTAGAAAATGATATTGTCCAGAATGTGTAGAAAATGATGTTGTCCAGAATGTGTAGAAAATAATATTGTCCAGAATATGTAGAAAATATTGTCCAGAATGTGTAGAAAATGATATTGTCCAGTATGTGTAGAAAATTATACTGTCCAGAATGTGTAAAAAATGATATTGTCCAGAATGTGTAGAAAATGATGTTGTCCAGAATGTGTAGAAAATCCATGAACTAGAGTTGCTATCACTCTAGTAGGACAGGCCATTTGAAATTAGATGAGAAAATAAAATTAAACGCCATCTTCTTTTAACACAACTTAAACTCAAGTAGAATATGGAAAATCATTTCTGATATGGAACTGTTGGGTGTGCTCCAAGAGAAGAACAATTTAAACTTGGTGCTGATTATAAGAGACTTCGCTTTGTCAATTTATAAAATTTTGAGAGAAGTTAACAAAAAGTATGAATTTCAGTAATTCATATACATTCTTGATGAGGGAAGTACAGATAGTGTATATAAGATACCCTGGCAATAATCTAGGCATTTTCTTGAATCAGTTATGTTTGCTTTTGTCTATGGATTAGAATGAATGACACATCTGAAGTTACTGTCAAGCTTTCACATGACATTGATCAGGCTGAGTCTCAATCACAGAGATGTGTACATGGTCTATAATAGCGATCATCTTAGACAACTTGGCTAATTATAATTAGTTAATTAATGGTGCCCTGCTAATGAGCGTAATACCCACATATAAATGAGATGATCTTGCCTATGATTAGCTATACTTGTTGCAACTCTGGAGGACGTGTTTCTGATCTGACTTGAAATATGGGCTTAGGTATATCAAGATTTTGTATTGGGTAGATAGGCAGCAAGATCCAAACATATTATTGAGATAATCTTGAAAGTCCAATTTGATTAAATTTTGAATGAGTCTTTTGTCATGGAGAACTTGATGAGGTCAGTACATTCATTTGAGATCATCTTGCATCCCATTGTCTAAGCTTGTTACCACTAAGGTGGTGCTCACCACTTATGTACTTTTGAAAGATTGAAATATGTAAGGTAAATTGTTGGCATACCTCTATGCTATTGTACTTTCATGTAATGTGGCTGACATTTCTTTGGATATTGTACTTTTGGAAATTGTAAATAATTTTAGCACACTGTTAACTAAAATGACTGCTCCCTTGTGCTCCAAAACTCAACCTGAATTTGTCTAAAGTACACTATCCTTGGCAGCTATTCAAATAGGGAAAATGAATTTTGCCAGACTAGACAATACCACTGCAATGAATGAATTACAGTATATATAACATAAAAAAGTTATTAGCACTTTTTTTTTTACAATTTACCTCTGAAGTTCAGGAAGTAAAAATGAGCAAGTGGAGCAAGCACTTTTTTGAAAGGTGCACATCAGAAGTAAGGCCAAGTTGTATCCCCTATAACCTATATTATACCCATCAATCATACACCAAAATAAAGGGAATTCAATTTTCTTTGAACAATATCTAAGATATACAAAGTCTTTTTTAAATAGCCAGTATAACTAGTGAGGAAACCCAGGGAAATTCTTTTTCATTATAATTCTAACCCTATGCAAAATATGAAACTGTAGAGCACCACCTTAAGGAATACTTGTTTGTTTTTTTTGTGTGTTTTAATCTAGTTATGTTATCAGGATCCAGTTCAGTATCAATAAGGAATAGGATAATATTAAAGTGATCTTGTATCAGATTTATCTCCACTTTAAGCATATATTATTATAAACCGCTCCAGTGGCCTAGTGGTTAGAGTGTCCGCCTCGGATGAGGGATGTCCTGGGTTCGATCCCCAGTCGAGTCATACCAAAGACTTACAAGAATGGTACTAACAGCTTCCTCACTTGGCACTCAGCATTATGAGGTTAGTGTTATGACTGGTCGACCAGGTGTCAGGATAATGTGACTGGATGGGACATCAGGCTACATGTCTGCAGCATGATGCCCCAGTGCTAGACATCACTATAAACTGCCAAGCTGCAGACATCATAGCAATATGATTGAAAAATTGTTAAACCTACGTTAAAATTATAATTACATCACACATCACATATATTATTATTGTCTTAGGCAGATTTATTACTTAGAGAAATCAGTGCACGTGAATAAATACTTTATGTATGATTTCCATGAGATTAGTACTTGTCTAGATCAATTTTTTTCTCATGCAATTTCTTGAATTTTTTGTAGATGCATTTATATTAAAATATTTAGTGACTTCCATTACGAGCACGAGAATTTTCATATTATTTATGTTTTTTTGTTTAGAAAGATATATTACCAGTAATATATGTAAAATCAACATGACCAAATCAGGGAGATAGTTTAAATAGGTTGTATTCCAGCATAAGCCTGCTTAGTGAAATGGTAAACTGGTATATTATGTAAGGCAGGAAGGTACACACTCTGACAAGTCTTTGAGCTTCTCTGATATTTGTAGAGTTATTACACATTTTAACCTAACAGCACATTGCAGCATGCAACAGAATTTTGTGAATGCAGCTGAGCTTACAGTTTTTAATGGATTGCTGTTTAACATGGTAAATTACTTCATTACATGTATTTAAAGATGTAAATATTGACAAATCTTTGTAAGAGTTATTGCCCTTTTTGACCTAACAGGAATGCAAAGTACTACATTATTTTGTGAGTGCAACTGCACATGCAGATTTTAGTGGATCGCTGTGAAACTTAGCACATATTATGGTCTGCATCTAAAGACGTATTGAAAAGCAATTGCTACTGATAATTGTACTCATACTCTTTTGAGAAGAATTGTTTGCTATCCATTTTACTAAAATTCACATCCATTGTGAAGTAGGGTTGGGATGTAGGAAATGCAGGGGTGGTATTTAAATGAATAGATTATGCACCATTCTGCTAGTTTTACTTTTTATTTATTAATTGGTTACCATCTTTTTGTTTCAGATCATTGCTGCTTTTGGATGAGGAATAATTAACACCATCTCCATGCATTAACATAAATGACGCCATCTCCATGCATTAACATAATTGACGCCATCTCCATGCATTAACATAATTGACGCCATCTCCATACTGCTTCTTTTGTCTTACCATGATGAATGTGCTGTAGCATGAAGACCACCGAAATTTAAAGAACAATCGGTGTGTGAAAATATGAAAAATATAATAATTGTCAAAGAAAGGACTTAAAATGAGTGCTGTTTGATATTGATGCCTTGTGTGATTCTTTGTGTTTACCAGTGGCATCTGTGTTTATGTAAAATCTTATAAGTTACCAAAATCTTCATTGAAAATATTTACTGGAATATTTTCCAGAATCACCTTTTATGAAGAGCAGGAAAATATTTTGTTCATTGTACCTGCATTACATAAAGTGCTGTCTTCACTGCTTGCATTGCAATTCCAGAAATGAAACAAAATATAGCAAGACAAGACGTTAATGAAAGCTTTTGAGTGTCTTGCTGTTTAATTACTCATAAGGAACATTTTACACTCCATATATTTTTTCACAGTTACTGTATGAATTGTAGAGTGGAATTGCTAGTGATTATTTTTTGGAAATGATTTCCTCAGATATAATGCATGGATTCTCCATCATCATTCTTGTTTTCAGTATAGCTTTAAACTGTCAAGCAAGACCAACAGATGAACACGGCATGACTCAGCAAACGTATTCACACAGTTTTCCTAATGGTTCTACTCGCTTGTGTTTGTGGGTTGAATGTGACCCAGGATCGGAGGTTATAGTTTGTGAGAAGCCAAATACATCTGATCAGTGTCGACCATGCACTCCACCATTTATACAGCCAGATAAAACAAATTCTGGATTCATTACCATGTGCTACAGAGTGACCTGTCCAGAATACTCCAAACTTGATGAAAATGGGAAATGTATATGTGATACAGACATTGGATACTATGGGAACTATTTTTATGACTGTAAATACAAAAATTGCTTGGAAGGTCAAAAACTCACAAAGTGGGGTTACTGTGTTGATAAAAAATTTGATTTGATTCCAATTAAAAGTACTCCAGAGCCTAAGCCAAAAAATATTGCTCAAGATAAAAATATGACAAATCTTAAACCTGTGAAAATCTCTGACAACAATCAAGATAGCAAGAAAACTCATTCACAAGACAACAATTCAGTATTAAGTTTGAGAAACAAATCCATTGGCAGTATTGGAGATAAAAAAGAGAATGATGACAGACCAACAGAAGTGTTTCTGTTCAATGAAGTAAATTTCCATCCCATATCTTTTTTATATGGTTGTTTGGCATTAATTCCAGTTTTCATCTTTGCTATGATTTTATATTTGGTGTGCAGAATTAGAAAAAAACAGAAAAATGAACTAGATTGTGTCATGAAAACACAAACTCAGAAACAAGTTCCTAAAGGCAGGCAAGTGGAATCAACTCATATTACTGATAATCAAACTTGGAAGCAAGTTCCTGCAGGCAGTCTGCCACTTAGGTTTAGATTTCCTGGCCAAGGTCAGTTTAATAAACCTCCAAGCCTTAAACCAACCCTGTATGCAGCATTACCTGATAAATTCGAGGTTGGAAAAAGCATTGGCATTTTGCACGTGGAAAATGAGCCCTGGGGTACAGGATTTGTAGTAGGCAATGGTCATGTGATGACGTGTCTACATACTATTATATTTATGCTTGGTATCAGAGCTGAGACAGAAAATGGTATACAACTTGAAATAAAACAACATATTTATAAAGTTAAGATAAGTTTTCACTTTAATTTGGTCAGTAGCAGAAATGATGACAGTTGTTTTGGATTTGAGCAAAGTGAGATTTATTTTGATACTAATCTTGATGTGATTGTGCTGAAAATCGATAGAAGTTGCTGGAATTATCAACATTTGCCACGTCCATTGACAAGATTTTGTGATTTACTGCCCAGCAGTCAGTTTGACTTTTTTGGTCATCCGCATGGTGAGAAAAAACAAGTTGATGAGAACTGTAGGATAAAGACCTTAAGTAGTAGCATGATAGATGAAAAGAGATATAAAGTTGCACAATATTTGAGAGGCAAGAACTTTGATTTACAAGTTTTTCTTGATCCTTATGATGGAATTCTGAACAATGGTTGCTACTTGTTTACTACCTTATTTGTGGCAGGTGGGTCAGGTAGTCCAGGTATTACATTTTCTGAAAGGAGCAATCCTGATTCCCAGACTTATGCAGTAGGCACCATGCTGTGTGGCGAATACCCAAACTTTGCACCTAATCAAATTCCTCATGACGACTTAAATACAGACTTGAAAATTCAGTTTGGAACAAAAATGTCATCTATTTTTAGCAGCATGAAACAAACGAATCCACATCTTCTCATGGATGTTTTTAAGGTTTATCCTCAGCAATGGGATCAGTTATCATGCACTTGAACTATATTGTTGTTTCTTTTCTTTTACCACCAATATGACAGCCACAGTGAATATACTGTAAATCTGATCTCTAATTATCCTCTATGGAGGGTCATGCCAAGATGGGGTTTTCATCAAAAGTATTCTAATAGTGTCTAGTTTGCCCTAAATGAAAATGTTCCTGATCTTGCTTTCAGTATTACTGCCACAGTGGCTAATTTGAAAATCTTATTGCTCCAGAACAGATGGTTCCAGCACTTAGAAGTTATAAAAAAAAAGAAATAATCTTGAATTCCTGGTTATCTTTTGATGACAGTAGAGCATCCGTCCCAACTGAGAGACTCATGTTAATCTCTGAATTTAAATTTTTTATGTTTTTATTTTAATGATACAGACTTGCCATAAAGTCTTTCAGAGGTGCTTGGTTGTTTTTTGTATATAGAAATGCTTGGATTATACACAGAGTTATGAATGTAGTTTTTATTTGATTGTATTTTATATTTGTCTTTTTAAATGTCACAAATTTAACTACTTTTAAAATTATCTATATGTATAGAATAGAAACAATTGTGGTTTAAATGTTGATGATGTCTGTCAGTCCATCTTTCAGTTTGCTGTCAGCACCATGTTGCCATTCACATTATTTTCACACACACTTGCATGCTGAGTCACATAACTTGGTATGTAAATGTTTCATGCAAATACTACACACTTTTGGTCAACTAGGTCACTTTACATTCTAACTTGAATTTTTCTGTCTTCTTAAAAAATTACTTAGCATCTAGAAATGCTGTGTTCCATTTGTATACATGTTGCAGATTTAGAAAACTGGTGCCTGAAAATTTGTAGCTTCAGATATTTTGATTAATGATGGCACCATACACTTTAGTCCAAACTAAGTCACTATGACTTATATTTCATTCTCCATTGATCTACATTAACTTTTGTATTTTGCACAGTATCTTAGAAAAATATAAAATTTATGCAGTTTCTTGTATTGTTAAGCAGTTTTAGCTCAGGGAAATAAAATAGGTTGTGATTGCTGTGTAGTTAGAAAGTCAGACTTGTGACCAGGTTTGAATCCTATCATTATTATACTGGGTTATCTGCCATGGTGTCTTTGGAAATGGCACCAACTGACTCAGAACAAACTTTTTCTGAATCCATTTTTTTATTCGTTACTGAGCATAAATTTTACACAAGTGACCTACTCTACTGGATAAATACAACTCTGTTCTAGTCAATATCATGGGTGCTAAAGAAAACATTTTACATCAGAAAAACCTACCCAGATTTTTGATAATTAAAAGCAAATCTTGACCATGGTAAAGTAATCTTAGAAATGCTACATGTCCCTTGCAATTACCAAGTATATAGGAAATGCTACATGTCCCTTGCAATTACCAAGTATATAGGAAATGCTACATGTCCCTTGCAATTA